GATCACTGAGTAACTCAAGCACATTTTCACCAGTGACAGTCGTGGCTTTAAATGAAAGTCGGCATGTGCCGAGATGAAATCAGCTGCGGAACACTTTATTTTTGATTACAAATATCATATAAATTTTCATTAGCAAAAACTGACATAGATATGTTATCTTAGATATGTATAGATATGTTTATAAAGCTTTCGGGCAGGACTAGATGAGTAACCAATCGAAATGCCGGTAACACATGGATTACGCTGCCTAAGCTCCATTTTGTGTAGTAATCGGTTTAGCTGTGGATGTGTAATTGGGGCATCTGGAGTCTATGAAGTCGACGATCTTTGGTAGATACGTGCTACAGGTTTCGTTGAACGTCAAGATTGTTCTGCAATAAATTTCTGAATAGGTTGTAATTATATCGTCAATACATATTCACTAGGATATGTGATTTTTAATGTGCACATTTTTTTAGTATTCATGAATGACTTACGTCTCGTTGTATCTAGGCAGCAGCGTTCCGTTGACTCTAGATTCGTTGAGTACTTCTTTTACGAAACTGAAATACACCCAATATAGCAGGGCTAAGTGTAGAGATGTATAATTTTTGGGAATAAAAAAGACTATTTATTAGACCAGCAGTCATGAAAAGTAGACCAAATTCAGACTTAATAGCAATGACCCGGACGAAAAAATGCGTTTCTCACGGTCCAAGTGTAGTGTTTGTGAAGTTTCTAACAATATCGCATCGGTCTTTCATGTTAGAGCTGCTGCTCCAGAAGATGATGCCATTAGCACCCATCACATAGGGTAGCACAATTGTACTACACAAATCTTCCTGAAAAATTGAAACTTTAATAGAAGTTGATAATAAAGATCTCCAAAAATGAAATTGAACGGCAAGAAGAAAGCCGCTAGAAAGCAGCGCAAGTTGTCTGGCGCAAGACAACCTTTCCACAACACGAGTATTTTTTAAATGAAGGGTCTCATTGAGTTCTTCCCAGGTTCTTCAACTTCGTGAATTGATACGCGTGACTATGTGCAGTTAGTTGAAATAGGAATTTTTGTAGAAATTTTTTGTTCCAAAATGAGATTGATCGGCAGTATCCGCCTTTTAAAGGCACAGTGAAATGGTTTCTGAGGGTATTCCCTAGAAAGAAGCTGTGAACCCCTAGGATAGACCAAGGGACGTTGTTGGGTCGAAAAACGTCCAAGATAGGGCGTAACAAGAGCCCCAGAGCCGGCTTCGCCGACGTACACACCCAAAGCGGACGAGTCGTTAAACGATATAGGAGCTGTAGAGATTGCACCATTTGCACCGGGACCCACACCTCGGCGCAGGCAGCTTACTGCAGTCAGCCGTGGGCGCGTGCCGTCCAAGTAGCCCTTTCATGCAGCTTTTTTCGTATCTTTTTTCTTCTTCTTTGAGGCCTTATATTTTAGAAATACGCCAACTCATGCGTTTTCTTAGCTTTTGCACTATTGTAGACTATAACTTCCCCTACTCATCTAAAGCAGATAACCCAAAATTATCGAACTGTTGCTATAAGGTAACGTAGTTATGCAAAAACCTTCTCAACAATATTTTCCCATAATTTCTGTGTAAATTAAGACTTTAATTTGAGCATCCCTACCTTAGTGTAGAAAGAGCAGTTTTTTTTGAGTGGGTCGTATTCGAATTTTGAGTATACATAAATAGGCAGTGGTGTAGGAGTGTAGTTCCGGGCTACTCTTAGCGTTTCAGCCATAATAGCCTGAAATTGAGCATCGGGTTGTTAAAGGAAAGCTTCTGTTTAGATGGCCTGGTGACTTGACTCAGAACACGAAGGGAACGGCATAAATAAGAGTAGATTGTTCAGGTGGCACATTTATAGTAAATATGTACTTGCATTCAGCCCTACATACCGAAAGGGAGCATAAATTGTGACGGGTACTGTAGAGTCTACCTGTACGTATCGGAAGTTCCTTTCTGGAGTTGATGCATTGAGGTAAATTGAAGGATACAGCGCTTGGCTTGCATTGAATATGTATTGCATCCTGAATTTTCCATTTACAAGCAGTGTAATCGAGCGTTTCGAAACAGTATTCATCAAGATCAACTGGAAGAAAGAGATGTTGACAGAACAGATCGATTGAAAGAAAGTGGCAGAAAATTAGTAGAAACAAAAAGGAAAAACACTTTTTGATATATCAACTATATCAACTGTTTACAGACGAGGTAGCAGAGGACGCTACTTTGCGTAACAAACCCTATTCAGCTTACAGCAATGCAATAAATTGCATCTGAATTGATATTTGAAATTTTTGAAATTCTGATTCTGATTCGTTTCGGAAAATTTTCCGCTCATGAACTAAGACTCCTAGTTAATTTAAAAGTCTATTTCTTAAAACCGAAACTATAAAAGAGTTTGTTCAGATGTTTTACTCGAAGAGAGACGGTTGGATTGCTGGAGTACTAGGATTCAATTTTCACTTGACGGTTACCAGTTGAGTAGTTCCCTTTTCAGTATCTTGCATTCTGATGAAGCCATAAGGTCTTAAATCCTCTGCCAACATGAAGTTAGACTACCTTCAGTCGAGTGGACCCGCACTGCTCAATGTTATGCTCAGCTGAAGAAGAATGCAAGCATTTAGTTTTGTCGGAATAAAAAGCGTCTGACCTGTCGTTGAAGCTTCGGTATGTATCCTTACACCTGTAGTCTTCAAGCGTTGGTGGCAGACTGCTATTCTTCAAGAATCCTGCATCGTAGTTGCAATATGGGAAGCCATACATACCCCAAAGAGTTTTATTACGTTCATTTGTCGCATTACTCAAAGTTTCCAGAAGGAATTCCCTGAAAGTTATGGTGAAAACAAATAGCATGATTTCTCTTTTCAACTCATTTTGAACAATCTATCTGACCAAATTTACATTTTCATTTTATTAATATCTTTAGCGTGAAAGTTCAACCTCTTTGGTCCAGAAGTGGCTTTTTGAAAAAACAAAATAAAATAGCCGTCCAGCCAACATGCACATAGAATGTAGAATCGAATTTTGGCTCAACCAACGAATTTGTTACCTTTATCCTCACCTTTATCATTTCACATTTTATCTGTATTAAATTCGTCTTAGTGAGAAAGCACAGGCTTAACCAGACATTTCCATAGGAAGAGGACACGTTTGAGAAGCCACTATGGTTCGTCATGATGTGGGACCTATTCAGAAAAGAGTGTTACTCAAACTATGAGTTTTTTCCTCTTACTCTTTTGAAGGTTCAGTTCACGTTGAATTCGAAATACTCGGTTTGAATGAAATAATGGAAATGATGGTGCAAAATAATGCGAAGGGGGTGAAGGAAGCGCGAAAATAATTGTATGCGAAAAATGCTTTCTAAAAGTTCGAAAACTTGAGACTGTACGAGTTAAACATGAGGCGAATGGCATGGTAGGAGTATTTGGACGAGATTTGAGTTGATGCATTTTGCAGTTAAGCCAAAAATGACAAAAAATGGTTACAACTGTTACCATTGGTATTAGTTACTGTGCTTGAATTTGGGGTTCCTTGTAATTGGGTGCAAACTCTACAACGTCGTTAAAATTCGTGCACTATTGGGTTTGACATGAAGTAGGTATTTTTCGTTGTGACAGCTCCACATGTGGCTGGTGCGGGCCAAAGATTCATCTTAGAGGGGTGTGACGAAAACCATTTTCACCGTAAACTGTGCCTTCAACAAAAATTTTCCAACCACATGAGTATTGAAAAGTTGTTGGAACGCATCATACCATACCCGAGCATCTATCTTTACTATTGTTTTTTTTTGCGACTAGATGCGACTTGGTAGAGAATCACAGGAATCTCCATTTTTCAATTGAAAAACCAAAACAAGTACGAACTTAGCAGATTTGTCGTACTCCTCTATTGCAGTTTTATTTATTACGCTGGAATTCGTTTGTTCGGGATACTTCTTTTTTGTAAGCTCTATGGCCGCAATTTTGTATACCTAAAATTGTAGAAGTAAACTTGTCAATAATCTTTTACGAGCAAAATTTATAATTTCAAAATCGGGGCGTGCAGTCATAATGAATTCCGTTGGTGAAATAATTAATCCATTTCTGGTTGCGTGCGATTTTTTCTCCATCACTATCTCAAGTTCTCAATGAAGGAAAAGAGGAAGGAAGGAGTTCAAGTAGCTGACCACTTTCTTCACGCTGTTAATATCGTATAGAGGGCGCCATTCTTCAAAGTCTACTACGCCAAGACCGGAGGAGTTTGCACATTTTATATTATCAGTGATGTTAAGGAGCGCAATTGTAATGTGTTCATCCAATTCCTCCCTGGTAACATTCTGAAAAATCGAATTTACAGATTTCTAAGGTTCACTGCATATGTTTTACCTGGGGTGTGCCGCTGTTGATTGGAATAGACAAATTATAATCCTTATAGTAAGGATAACGGCCGAATTTATATTCGTAGAATAGTGCAACTTTGTCGCCTATATAAGCGTCTTCTAAAAATCAAAATCAGACTCTCTTCACTTAATATTCATCTTCTTGGAATATTCGATAATGTTAATTAGTCGAGTTTTTCGTCGAACATACTACGTTTCGTAGGAATTTTCGAGGAATGGTCCACTAATATAATACTATTGAACTGGTGTTGCTTGTAGTTATTCGTTACACTACTTTACTTTTATTCCTTATATTATTATAATTTGATATGTTATAATTTTAATGTCTGAATCAATGGGAACTTACTGGTGTTGTGCACGATTCCGTATCTGTCCAACAATGGAGTTATATTCATCCTGCAGTGCCATGTGGGAACATTCCAGTATGCCTAAGTGGAGTCGTTTGCATTGAGAAACCCCAACAGATAGCGGGAAGTTTATTTCACTTTATTGAACGTGTAAACGTAAATATCGTTCGATGTCGCCGCGCGATAAACAGTTCATCGGCTGAACTATGTAGAGAAGGATTATAAGTAATAGTAGTGGGTCAATTGACGACTTCTCAAGAGATTCCGGAGATTATTTTAAAAAACAGTAAATACCTGGGTTTAACCGGCGTGGGTTTAAAAAAAACTTCACCTGCTCAATGGAAAGAGTTGCTGACTTTCTGATAAAGTTGGATAGAATTAAGAAAGGCAAGAAGTTATCTTCCGAGTTTGATTCAAAGTCGCTGTGAAG